GGGTCCGTCCCTTCGCGGCCCTTGTGAGCCCCCCTTGCTGGCTGGAAATCCTCGGGGCTTGTTCCCAGCGCCCGAGCCAAGTGCGTGCTGCGAACCACACGGGTTTTTCCTCGTTCTACTCCCAGCGTTGTGTCCTCTGAGCGCGGCCTGGTCAGGCTCTCTCTGTCGGTCACAACGCGCTGTTTCCTCAGCCTGAAGGAAGGGGAGGCTCCGGGGGGACCTCACGGGCAGCACCTGGAAGGGCCTGCAGGAAAGCTGGAGATGGAGGACTCTTTACAAGGAGTGACAGGACAAGGGGGAATGGCTTTAAACTGGCAGAGGGTACATTTAGGTTAGACACTAGGAGGAGATTTTTCACTGTGAGGGTGGTGAGACACTGGCACAGATCGTCCGGGGAAGCTGTGGATGTGTCCTAGGACAGCTTGGATGGAGCTTTCAGCGATCACTGTGAGGGTGGTGAGACACTGGCACATTGTCCGGGGAAGCTGTGGATGTGTCCGAGGTTGGATGGAGCGTTCAGCGACCTGGTCTGGTGGGAGTTGTTCCTGCCCGTGCAAGGAGGGTGGAACTAGGTGATCTCTAAGGTCCGTTCCAACCTGTGATTCCGTGATTCAATGATTCTGTAACTCTTCTCTGAATATTTCGTTGTTAGTATATTGAGTAAGTCGAGTGTTTTGGAGGAGTCACTTGTCTCTCAGATAAAGCCCACTCTTATCTCACAACCAGTGTGATGACAGGAGTCATGACTACTCATCTCTCGTGATTATACACCTGTAAGACAGGCATGTATAATGGAGGTTGAATGGCACAGAAGGCTGGGCTTGAAAATGCTAGGTTTTCTTACAACAGGCAGGAAAAAATATATTTCCCGCTAATTAAAACAATGAAATGGCCTTTTCTTGTATAAATGTGTATACTAACTTGTATGTGTAGAAGTAAAGGGAAAGGGATGGTGTAATTAGAGTATGGGTACTTTTCTATACTCTTAACTAATATAGATGGCTTTGTGCACTTTGAGAAGAATATAAAATCTTTAGCAGAGATACACCTGGAAATGGTGAATATCAGAGTATGCAAAAAATGCCTAGAAAAGCCATGCACAGCAAATGAAACCAAACCACCCAGAGCTCTGCTTCTGAGCGATCTATCCATTCTTAACCTTTATTATAATTTGCAAATACCGCTGCGAGCTAATGTGTATAAATTAGGAAAAAAACAAACATCTTATCTTATAAAGGATTCCCTGCTAATTATGACTCCAGAGGCGAACGACAAGCAAGAAAGAAATGCCAAAGGCAGAAGACTTTCAGAAGACTGCGTATTCATTACTGCGTATTCAGAAAAGTCATTTAATGTACATGGCAAACATCAAAAGCAACTAGAAGAAAAAATGGAACATTTTCATTGGAAAATAATATACTGCATGCATATGGAAATCTGGTTGATTCAAACTTAGCTGAATGTGCAGCATCTGTAGGGACCAATCTTGAAAAGACTTTAGAATGTGCTTGGATTTAAGTATGCAAATCATAATAATTTGAATGCTTACAGCTGATTATTTCCTTAAATCTTTGCATAACCAGGGCCATAGCTGGTTATCAAATGTTACCTAATTTACAACGTAAACAACATTTTATTTAAATACATTACTATTGGAATGGGTTAGAATTTGGGTTGGAATTAAAAGATTTCTACAGTCATTGGTTGCTAGATCATATGTCACAGTATTCAGTATGCACAATTTTATATGCAACTATTTAAACCATAGTCATTTAACAATTAGCTGTACATTGAGCTTAGGGGTATTTCACCTCATTAGGATATATTGGATTTCAGGAAGAAAGATTTCACACATCTTCTTTCCTAGGAGAAAAGAAAAATATTTGATTAAACATTTTGGTTTTCAACTGAGAAAAAGATGTTAGAAAAATAAGTGTATGGGGCATGTGTCAGTGCCCTACTGTAGAAATGTACACAACATAAAAACCAGACTGAAACAGATTATTTTTTTCTTGTTTTCCATTCCTTTAGTTTTAACTCTTTGCTTTTGTCATGCTTCTGTGTACCTTGAATCTGTTGGGCAAAGTGAGCATAAAATAGTATTGTGATTTTTAAATTAATGCCACTTTTCTCAGGTATGAAAGGGCTACACAAGGTATCTTGCACAGAAGAATCAGAGTAAGATTCATGCTAACAATCATAATTGGGCTAAGGAAATGAATATTTTCACTAAAGGCCTCCTGAGACTTCTGTGTTTATTCAGGTCGTATTTTATATGCTGAGATGAGGTTATCAGACACCCATGATCTAAAGAACCAGTGTCCAAGTCCTTAGAAGGCGGGGGGGACACTGCAGTGATTTGCCTGTAAGTTTCACACCTCTTGAGGCTCTGACCCCTGGGAGGGCCACCTGAGCTGGGCACTGCAGAGGCCCCTGGGTGGCCCCACAGGAGAATGATGCCACCTTGTCTTTCCTGGATATTGCCTGTGGGGTTAGAGAATGCTTTGCTTGCCTCTGCCTGGTGCTTCCCTCCCCATCTGGAAGTGTCTTTAGCATGAAGTGAGTCCTCAGTGAGCCCCTTCTACAGAAATGTTTAAAAGTCCATGAGAAGGACCATTCTGTGCGTGTTCTATAACTACAGACACTGTTAGTAATCTGAGCAGAGCACTGCTGATGGGAAAATCTTATGGTAAGACAGCTCTTTCAAGCCCAGGTGCTGATTCTAACTTTGCATTCCTTTGTGATAAAAAATAATAGGGCATATGCTCTTAAACACCACCTGAAATAAAAAACACAATTAATAGCAATAATAGTGATTCATTAGTGATTTATGAACACAAAGACGTGGTTTCTGATGCCTAGGCTCTTGACTGTGGTTGTGAGGCAGATCTTTTCTGAAGGAACATTTATAATCTCCTTACCTCATCCCAGATGTTACTTAAAGATTGAGGGGCTTACTGTTACATTAGTCTTCTAATATCATCATGCCTGTGTTTTGCAGGCTAGAACATTGCACATTTGTTTTGTTTTTTTTCCATCATGCTTGTTTTTGTGTTTCAGTCAGCGTTGTCAGTTCTGTTGAGATGGTCTTGAATGTACCATGACTGAATCCTGTTCCAACTAAAGTTTGTTGCCATGTAAACACCACTTGTAGAGAATTGTACCTTCTGTGACAGGAGAAGGAATTCACTTACTGCTTAAAAATTCCGCTTATATAGTTGCAGTGCTTCCCCAGCTATGTATTCAATGAATTCAGCACTCTTTGTGTCTAAGTTGGGAGGAACTTTAATGGTAAAAGTAGGTGAAGTCAGAACATTCACATCTACCACAGTTTCACTTTTACCAGAGGGATCACCAGGTGCCACCTAGAAGAGAACAAATCAGTACTTCAGACACTATAAGCTACTGCATATTTTGAGGTTTGTTTACACCTGCTGTGCCTACTGTCTTTGATAGGGAAAATTAAATAGAGGAATATTTTAGACTTGCCTACTTTCTTTACATTACTTTCTTTAAATTACTTTCTTCTGAAAAGACAGTGAGTGTCTGAATTTATGCCAAAACTTATTGTAGGTGGTGGGAAGAGCTAACATGGCACTGCAAGACCATATTAAAGAACTGCATGTTAATATTTATACAATTCACAACAAGTCTAAAGAATTTCTGATCTCCTAATGAAAACTGTTGTGAGTCGTCCCACTGATTTAAAGACAAAGGTTGTGTGGTTGAAGTTATTAATTCCTGTGTGTTTTTCTAAGCCATGCTTAGTTCTTCAGCTTTATTTTTCTAGAGCAGATGGCTCAGACTCAGTTGGGAAAGTGTGCTTAAATGTTTCCTGTCCCCTTGTTCCTTATTTTGTGATATTTGGAGGACTGCACAATCATCTTGTGTAAAGTTTTGTAATAGTAGTACGTTGGATTTCTGAATTGGAAGGGAGAATAGGATCTGTCCCTTGCCCAGGAAAATTGATTGAATTTACTTTAGGTACATCCTTGTGTGCAAGATACAGTTAATCATTATGTGTTTATTGGAATATTGACAGATGCTGTTAAAGATATGCAGCTTCCACTACAATAACCTGTATAACATTTGCCTTCTTTGAGCTTGGGGATATATAGGTACAGATGTAAATATATAGCTAGATGTTCAGTGATCCTATAAGGATGTGGCATGACTGATACCATGAAATTTCTCTGGAAAGGTAATCTGAGGACAGTCAAAGCTGCTACTCTCAATTTGCTCTTACCAGACAGTGATTCAGGTTAGCCTGTCAGCCATCCATCAGACTAAAAGGATTTATAGGAAAATAGTTTCTAATCTCTGGAGTTTCAGCTCATTGAGGGATTATCAAACATATGTAAATTAAAGATGAGCAGGAACTTCGTGTTGTAAAACCAAGCATTGCACATGTACAAACATCCACAATCCCCAAGGTCCTAAGTGTGAGCAAAAGCATACATCAAAGACAGCACTGCAATAGTTCCCTTCAGAAGGTAACCCTTACCTTAACTATATTGAAAATGTTTTCTGGTCCGATGGTCATATTGGATAATTCAGACACCCACCCAAATCTTTCTTTCATTTTGTTCAACAAGTAGGAAGTGTCTTCTGTGTGACGCTGAACTACCTGGAGAATCTGCTCATACTGCTCCCCTGAGAGGTTAACCAGCTTAACAGCTTCATCCATCTTGATGTGCAGTTCGGGAACGTTTGGACAATCTGTTAGAAAAGACAGCCAGCATGAAGCTTATAGGCAAGTATTGTGTCTTTTGCATCATCTTTTCTACCTGAAGTATAGAAAACTAAAAAAGTCTGGCAAGAGGGCATTTTTTGGGTTAGTGTTTAGAAAATGCAAAAAAAAATAAAAATAGGTTTAGGCTGACAGATTTAGGCTTATAATGACTAAATGGATTAATTATCTCATTTGCCATACTGCAGTGACTTACCAAGTACTTTAAGGTTTATATATATTTAATTGCAACAAATTTTTCTTATGCTAAATAAGAACTGGTAGATTTTACATATGGCAACTTCATGATCTCGTTATACACAATCTATTGTTTTAATTGCATTATCAATCCTTCCAAATATATTGATTATTACAAGGAAGCCTGTAACATATGCTAGTATTTCTATTGAATGTTAGTGTCTTTTATTTATCTAACAATAGCTAGACATTAGTATATAACTAATATCATATGCCATGAATTCAGAACTGAATATTGTTGGTTTTCTTCTTCACTAAAATACAGATTTTAAACAGTGACATTATATTAAACCTATACAAAAAGTACTATGGAAAAATTTGATTTATTCTCTGTCAAATAGGATTGTCAAGGATGCCTTCAGGTTAATAGTACAGTAACCACAGAGACAAATTTGTATCTGTGATACACAACTGTTGACAAAAACATACTTTTAGTGAGATGGAAGTGGTCTAATAATCTTTTTAAAATGTGTAATATTTACCCCCCTGGAGATACTCTGAAGACATTTGGGTTTAAAGATATTCTGTGGCTTAGAAGACCCAAATAATTCTGGAAACGCAGATGTGTTGTATTGCAGCAGGAGTCCTGCAGTTCTAGGTGGTACAGTCTGAATTTTTTCCCAGTGCCCATGGCGAGTGCACACCAGAGCTCTACCATCTCCTTTCCTACTGACAAGCAGTACTATTTTCATCCTTCATTGTGTCAGTTTGCTGACACAACTCAACAAACAGTAGTTGCAGGCTCTTCAGAGCTTCCTTTCCAAGTGACGAGCTGAATGCTACCTGAATTTATGTCATATTGTCTGCTGGAGAAGCAAGTGTCAGGAGTTTGAGCTCATTTTCTGCTTAGCACTTCTGCACCCAGGCAGGATTGATTACTGCCTGACCTCTTGCTTCTCTGCAGGATGTCATCTCTTACAAAATATATAGGTATTTTGTTATGAAGTGCAGAACTTTTTGGACCTCCAGCGATATGCTAACAACTGAGTTATACTGACACTCTGTGGAAACAGTGGGGAAAGGTAATTGAAGTAATTTGGAATGAGGAATAGTGTGTATCTGTCGTTACAGAAAAAGCTCAATGACTGTTCATTCCAAAAATATGCAAACAGGACAGTAGAAAATGACAGCCTCAAACTGTACAAGCCAGTTATCACTGCATTACAGGGAAAAAAAAAAAAAAAAAGGATAATATGCATTTACCTTGCAGAAAGTTGTCTTGACATTTCTGACATCTCTCATGAAACTGTGGGCATCCAGAGGAGTTCTCCCGAAGCTCCCCACACAGAGGCCTCTGGTGCCCTGACACAATTTTTGTGAACATGCCACTTCTGTCAGCATCTAGAATGAAGTCACAGGATTTTTAGAATGTCGTTAAGCTTAGGGTCTTGATAAATATAATGCGTTTGTTACCTGCTCTGTGTGCTAGAATATATTATCTTGCCTTTGATCCCAAATATCTGGCATAAATCCCTCCCTCCCCCCTAAAAAAAAAAAAAAAAAAGTACTAAACCACTAAAAAGCAGACGTCAGAAGATACAAATCATGTTTTCTTTCAAGGAATTCATGCCATTATAATATATTCCCTTATCAAGGCATAGTAGTGTATTCCGCACTAATAGACAAACAGTTGCTAATATTCTTACACATTGTTTCTAAAACATGTGAGTTCTGGTAAGATCTTCTTGACTCTTAGAAGTCAAGATGTTTCATAATCACATACAGATAGATGAGAGCACAGTACCGAAGCTTATTTCTGTGGTGGCATGGGTCATGATACAGGAAAAATTAAAAAATGCTGTTATAAAATCACTTAACTTTGTATTTCCTAGTGGCCATATAGTGACTATGTCACCTACCACTGAGTTACAGTGTTCTTTACTGTGATCTCCTTACAGATAGGCACCAGCACCTTTGAATTATGCTTGTTTTTCTGTTTATATTAGTAAGATATGAAGGATAAGGCTTATTTGTATTCAAAATGTTGACAAAGTTTTTTTTCCTCTGTTGACCGCTATTACCTGAAACCAATGTTATGCCCAGAATTGTCCAGGTTCTTGGAAATTTCCAGGTTTCTGATAGCTGGTCTGTGTTTCATTGTCACACTTCATTGCTGTGGAAGGGCTAGAAAAGGACATAGATCTGTCTGGCTGAGCTAATGTCTTTTGATAAGGGCAGAGATATCCCTTGACATGTCACAGAATTACTCTAATTTTTTAGAATTGTTGACATGTCAATACGATACAATACATATGAGATCCTGACTAACGCTGAGATCAGACCTGCCAGTCCAACTTAGGAAAACCTGCATCCATCATGAATTCAAGTGCTTTTGAGGAACTTCTGCAAATACTTTGAGATTTACCATGAAAATCAGGCTGTGTAGGACCCACAAATCCCTGTGACATTTCTTTTAGATTTATATATTTTAATTTAACCAATAAGTTTATCCTTGACCCATGCCTGTATAACCAAGAAAGCCTCCAAAACTTCCATGCTATAACTCACACTGACATACCTCAAACTGAATAACTAACCATAGTTTAGCAATGCCATAGGGTTTGGTGTCATTGACAGGGCAGTTGAATTTCATTTTCTAACACTTGCCTTTGGCTTCTCCTGGCACATCTCTCCTGTTAGCTCTGTATTCATCCAATGCATCAGTAATCACCTCGCTGACACCTTCAAACACCGTCTTACTGAAATCAAAAACTATCTGTATGAAGCCAGGTATACCCCAGCCTTTCTGCAAGCCATTGTTTCCAGTGGTGTCCTCAGGTAAAGATGGCATGCTGGTGGACTCACTCAAGTCCAGATCAGACATGAAATATGTCTGAAAAGACTGGTCAAATTCTTCTTGCATCTGCTTGAAAAAAGTGAAGCTTCTCTCAAATATTGAGCCCATATCTGTTAGTAGTTGACTAAATAAGTCTTCCATTTTTACTAGCTGCGTATCCACTTTCTCAGGCTTTGCATTAAATTGTATGTCCTTTCCTTGATCCTCATGAAAGGTAAAAATGAGTGGAGGTATTTTCCTCAAAAAATCTTCAACCTGTGTATAAGAAAGAGATAGATCAGCTTGCCTGGTGAATTATCAATTTTTTATCTCTCAGGGAAGTGGCTTTAGTTTTTCAAGTTTTTCAATGCCCTCTTAATAACTGCAAACACAGCCTTTTCTACAAAGTGATTTGAGACACTAGACCCTAAAGACTGAAAGTACATTCAGTCTAAATCATTAGCTCCAAATCAGATCTGGAGTAACCGAGTTGCCAGTTGGCCTTTAATCTCTGGAGGCTCAAAGTTAGTATCAGTGTTTGGGTTTCTTCTAACAAACAATTTGGACTTTA